AGTGATATATAATGAAACCGCGTCAGGGAGTGAAACTAATTCTGACAATGAAGTAGAATACGAAAGCGATCCACGGGTGCGTTTAAAAGCAGAAGAATCAAGAAGAAACTTTGAGGATTAAGCGAACTAACACAGAGCGTTATGGGCGATGGTCTTGAGGAAGATTAAGAAGCTAAAAACAAGGCATATGTAGTCATCCTACCAAAGCGTCGAAAAGACTTACAAAATATTTATTTGGAACATCTAATTTGGATACTGACATTTAAAGAGAGATCTATACACAAAAAGTTTATGGAAACGAGGAATACTTAACTAGTGATGACAATTTTTAACAGGAGGATGCATTAGAGGCTGCCATTGATAAGAGAAAATTTCTTATGGAAAGACTTTTCAATTAGAGACACTCGTTCTCGCGATCCTGACACAAACGAAGATAGTGATAGTGACTCTGGATAAGAATTGTTTAGATGCCACAATTCCACATCAGAGAAAACTCTATGGACATAATGGATGGACATAATTTGCTTCTTTTAAGAATTAAATAAATTTGTTTTAAAATTAAATTTTGTGTGAAGTTTACCTACATAGCCCGCTCATGCCGATTTATTGAATCATCGATCGAATCCTAAAATTGATTCACTGAATCCTAAAATTGAATCATTGAATCCTAAAATTGAATAATTGAATCCTAAAATTGAATAATTGAATCCTAAAATTAAATCATGAATTGAAGACTAAATTTGAATAATTGAATCCTAACTTTGAATCATTGAATCCTAAAATTGAATCATTGAATCCTAATATTGAATCATCGAATCATTGCTTTGAATCATTGAATCCTAAAATTGAATCATGGAATCCTAACTTTCAATCATTGAATCCTAAAATTGAATCATTGAATCCTAAGATTGATAATTGAATCCTAAAATTGAATCATTGAATCCCTATATTGAATCATTGAATCCTAAGATTTAATCATTGAATTCTAAAAAATAATAATTAAATCCCTAGATTGAATCATTGAATCCTAAAATTGAATCGTTGAATTCTAATCACGCAAAAAAGAACTTGGTCGATATCTGAGTAACTTTGACTGGCAACTGATCGATTCCTCCGAACCGTACGATAAAAATTGTGATATCTTATGCTCCGCAATAAAGACGCGGGTTATGACATCCTTATGCCTGAGAAACACGTTAAATTCCACCGCAACGACAACCCATGGATAACCGAAACAGCTGATCAAGTTTCGACAACGTGCGTTTTCATCTAATAACACTACCCTAATAAAGTGAACAGAATGAGAAAATCTTGCCGGTCAGATTACTTCGCTTCAAAAGTTACTAATCTGAAAAAGTCTAACCCCAAATCTTGGTGGGCAGAGGTTAAAATGGCTAGAGCCGATATTATCTGAACAAGGTGACGTCATAGATTTTGCAAGCTCATTATAAAATCCGCTATATGGGGGTGGGGTGGGGGGATCACTACTTTTCCATGCCTCGATCTGTGGCAACCCACTAATTCTATTTAGCAAGTAGGAAAATAGAGCGTATTTTTAGGGTCAGGAGTATATGCCTTAGTGGGTTGGGCGGAAATCTCTGAAGTGGTGTAGTAAAGCACTAAATATATACAGGGTGTCCCAAAAAAAATGTCCCCTGTCATATTTGGTGGTATTACTTCGCTATATTTATTCAAGGGTTCAATTTTTTTGCAGTGGGTTGAAAAACAATCATAATATATTAATCGTAGCATTTATCTCACCAAAAGACTTAACCGTTCGGCTTCTAGAGATACCTAAGGTGGCAATCTTCCAACCCGTCCAAATTGAATTAGGTTAAAAATAATGCAAACTTTGTAGAAGGATTTCCAAAGGTTCTACCCACCTTTCCGCTCAAAAACAAAATGTTCTTATCTCTATTATTAAACTTTTGTTTCTTGTAGAAATTAATAAAAAAAGATGAAAAATCCCTGGCAAATTGACAAAGGCGAAGCTTGAAGTTGGGAAAAAGCCTTAAATTTGCTTTTTTCCGTTCAATTTGTTCCATGAAAGGGGAAATGTTGGAATTTAAATACTAGTCTTTCCCCTTTTCTGGGGATTGCTTCATTATTTTTACAGAAAATTAATTCGCGATTTTGGCTACAACTAATTACAAGTTTTAGAAAAGATATGTAGCCATTTACCATTAAAATATTCAATTACGTTCCGTAATTTGTTTAAACCTGATATCCACAATTTGGACAAGTGGCAATATTGGTGTCGCCATCTTAAGTAACTCTAGAAGGCGAACGGTTAAATTTTATTGGTGCGAAAAAATGCAACGATTAACGTAATGTGTTCATTGATAAAAAAAATGAAAAAATTTGAATATCCGATTACAGGTAACGATGTAGTACCACAAAATATGATAGGGGACATTTTTTTGGGACACCCTGTATATTCAACACTTTCCCGTATACAGTAAAAAGAACAATGTATGTCGTATTAGGCTGCACTACAACTTAATGGGACAACTGAACCAGAGATGTGTTCGTCTGGTTATTGTTAGGAAGGTTCAGTTTCGACTACGAGCAGTGGCGGAAATCTTGGTGGGGCAGGGGGCGGCCGCCCCCCCCCCCCACCTTCACGGAAAATTGACGAATTTTCGGAGAGTTTGAAAGAGCTAAAAACAGTCTTTTCGAGTGCAAATGGGGGGGTTGTCGGAAATTTGAAAGTTTTGTTGGAAATTTAGGAGGCTTTGCCCCCCCCCCGGAAAAAGTGAATTTCCGCCACTGACTACGAGTACGAGATTTTTCCCGCCAAAAGTATAGCCAACCGTCTGCTGAGCTTTGCAAGTTGTACTCGTTGTTCCGTTTAATACACTACCGTAGGAAGCAATTTTGTATTGGGGGGCTGATAATTAGTCAAGGGCGATTATTAGGTCATTATTTCCCTCTCAAACTTTACAGATTTTCGGCGCTAGTTTACAAATTATTGGGGAGGGGACTGAAGCCTCCCCCCGGTTACATTCGCATATTGGGATTTTCTCATCGCAGAAACACAGGGGAAATAAGGTGACACGGACCCCTTTTCCAAGGTGACTTTTCCAATTAATTTATTTCCGAGGAGAAATGTCTGAGAAGATGTACCGGTTGGTGAGTAAATAAAAATCATGTCTTTGATTTGATTTGGTAATCTTTTATTGCTGCAAAATCATGATCCCCAAACGCTTTTCAGGGACTGTAGATTTCAAACTTCGCCGGGGAAGCATGGCCCCGAACTCCGAAGTCTAGAAAGGGGCAACCTCGTACCCATGCAGGGCTTGGTTGCGGAAGGGGTCTTATGGTTACTGATAAATATTGTATTTTTATGTGCGTATATTGTATTTTCATATGCGCTATATTGCAGTTTATATTGGTCTGACAGAGTACAGAATAGGGTACAGAAAAATTATCGAGTTGAAATTTTACGCACATTTATTAGACCTAACCAGGAACTGCCGGGGAAAATACAACTACGGGTCCATGGCAAGAATCGAACCTGTGGCCCTGCGATTCCCAACTGAGCAACAGAGGCCAGTTGTCGAGCTCTAATCCCATGTTCATGTAAATATATATATATATATATATATATATATATATATATATATATATATATATATATATATATATATATATATATATATATATATATATATATACAGCTAATTCAATAAAGGTTGTCCCTTGAAACCTTTAAACTCTAAAACCTTAAACCCTAAGTGCGCAAAGCATAGTGGGAGCACGATTTAAGTAGTTTAGAAAGCATATATGGAGCCCATTTCTTGGAGATATGATAAATATCTCCCTGCAAAAACATTTCACAGACAAACAGCCGCAATAATCAACTATTAAGCTTGAAATCAGTGCTCCCATCATGCTTTGCGCGCTTAGAGTTAAGTAATGTACATATATGTAATTTTAAATCGTATCAAATATTCAATCAAACTATTAATAGAACATAGACCCTAAATGGGCAAGCTATAAACGGGACTCAAAGAACCATGCAAGATACCTTCCCAAACGTTACTAAAACTAATTTATATAACATTACACACACAACTCTACACACACCTAGCTAGTGCACCACAATTTACGTCCTATGGCACGAACAGTCACGAAACAAGGACCACGTACATGACAAGTCAACCTCATAAATAGAATCAACAATACTAGAGTATCTACGTTTAATTAACTAAACATTTGAAAGAACTAGGACTAGACACATTGTCCAAACATACATCTTTACATACAATGTTCCACAGTTTGACAACACGATTATAGTACGAAGATTGAAAAGTGCTTGCTCTACAAATTTGACTTTGTAGAATGCACTTTGAGGTGTTACTCAGCCGAGTTCGACCGTGACTGACAAACGAGACACAGTTACTGACATCAACATTCACATAACCAAACAAAGCCCTGTATAGAAACACCACTGTCCTTGACCTTCCTGTCGCAGGTTAACGGCAGAAGGTCCAAGGCCAACAGACGTTCTTTGTAGCTCAACTCTCCTCTTCTGCTCATCATTATCCATCTCGTCGCCCGACGTTGCACTCTTTCAACCCGCTTTGAGAGTTGGATGTTAACAGGATACTTCCTGGATAGTATACCGGGATACTTCCATGTATAGGCTAATTATTAATTACGTCGAGTCCTTAATTTTAATTGTTCAAGACCTGTCCGACCTTACCGCTAAATCCAGTTCCGCCAATCCGCTTTTCGTCATCTTCCATCCGCCGGTCCGCTCGTCCGTCAATCCGAGTTATATGCAAATCGTATTTATGCATGCGCATTAGCATAATTAATTTCAACACCATATTTGGTCATGAATGTTTTACGCGCGGGCTCCAAGCGCTATATGGCTTCCGCTGAGCTGGTATCCAAATGCAAATCTTATTTCCGCCCTATTTTGCTTCGCTTCGAGTCGCTAGTTTTGTGAAACATCTGTGAATTTTGTAGCTTGAAATTTCTTTGAAGTAAAAATGGAAGAGGATAAGGCGTCGTACGTCGAACAAGCAAAATTATCTGAGCAAGCCGAGCGCTACGAAGACATGGTCGAAGCGATGAAAAAAGTGACGAGCTTCAACGAAGATCTCTCCACGGAAGAGCGAAATTTATTGTCGGTTGCCTACAAGAATGTTGTCGGTTCAAGGCGATCAGCATGGCGAGTCATACATAGTCTTGTAAATAAGAAAGGGAATGAGAATGATAAGGAACTGAGGGAAAGTTATTTGGAAAAAATCGAGGGAGAATTGTCTACGTTATGCAACGAAGTGTTGACATTGCTCGATGACGCTCTCATTCCGAACGCGAAACGAGGTGAAAATCACGAATCCGTTGTGTTTTATTTGAAAATGAAGGGAGATTATTACCGATACCTTGTTGAAGCTAACCATGACAAGGCGGTGAATCAAGCAAATTCGAAAAAAGCTTACGAAGATGCCACTGCCCTTAGTGCAGACCAATTGTCCACAACTCATCCAATTCGACTTGGTTTGGCGCTCAATTTCTCTGTATTTTATTACGAAATCGAGGCAAACACAGCTGAAGCTTGCAAGTTGGCCAAAGAAGCATTCGATTCGGCCATTACCGAGTTAGATCAAGTCCAAGAGGACATGTACAAAGACAGTACACTAATTATGCAACTACTACGAGATAATTTAACGCTTTGGCAGACTAGTAATGAACAAGACGACGAAGAACAACCGAAAGGCGATGCACAGTGAGATCTTTCAAAAACTCTTGATTAACTTAACTGTTTTCTGGATTGACATTAAATAATGTGTACGAATTCGACTTTTGTGTAGAACTGTTTTAACAAATAATTGCACCCGTATATTAAAAACACACACAATGTATTCAGCTACTATTTGAAATTTGAGAGAACAACTCAGCTGTATGTGTTTATTAAAGCCCGAGCTTTATAAACTGCTGGGTTTATGCATGCACTTGAAAATCTTTGAACAAATGTCCGAATATTGTACACTGATGCATTATTAGGTGTGAATTTCAATAAAAATTTAGACAATCAGTAATTTATATTGAAGGTGTGTGTGTATAGAATTACTTGTGAATTTATTGTTATTAAAAGTGTTGATTTCTCTCACTTTTTGAAACGAACAGCGCTGTTTTTGTATTCTCTCTTGAAATCAAAGAGATATTTGATCGGATTACACACATCATTTCACCGAGTATAAAACTGAAAAAGCAGAAGCCATTTGAAAAATTATTTTGATTTTCTTAATTTCGGCAGCATTCTTAATCTTTTATAGGTAGATTTCAATCCATCAATAACACAATGGCAGATGGAGATAATTAAACAATGAGATTCTATGAGTTTGCCCTTCATCTAAGGCTATTTCTATATTTGTCAGGCAAAATGGTCGACAGGCACCTATGCCAAAAATATTAACCCATTAAGTGCCAGCACTCCCCTTGATGAGTAAAATTGTCTGGTGTTAGACAGAGAAAAATAATAAAGTAGGACCCATTAAATGCCAGCACTTTTCCCTTGTCGAGTAAAATCATCTGGTATTAGACAGTAAAATGATAAGGGTGCAATGCGACTCAATGGGTTAACCCCTCTGAGGGGCAAAGTGCTCTGATTTACTATTTTACTCTGTCTATTCAATTGCCTGACAATTTTAGTTGCTAAGGGGAATGATGCCACTCAATGGGTTAATCAGACTATCAACCCATATGTCCTGTTAACCCTGTAAGTGGCATCAGTTCCCTGATGCGCCACACTTTATTTTACTCTGTCTAACGTCAGATGATTTTACCCACCAAGGGGCGAGTGCTGCCTCTCAATGGGCTAAGCTGCAATTAGTCCTACTTTGTTGTATTTCTCAGTCTAACACAAAAAATGATTTTACTCAAATGTAGTCTTGTGGCTAATGGCTTTAACACAATTAAGTTGTGTTGTGCTCAAATGCGCCTTACTTTACTATGTCTAACACCAGACGACTTTACTTGTCAAGGGAGAGTACTGGTGCTCGATGGGTTACTGCATGCACAATTTAGAATAACTGGGTATTCGACAGTAAAATGGTCGGGTGTAAAAGAGTGAAGTCCCTTTGATATTAAAATGTTCGGGCATTAGAGTGAGTAAAATAAAATAGGGCGCATTGCAGCATGTGACATTAGATGGACAGAGACATAGACAATGGTTTAACACGAGACGTTAGAAAGGGAGAGTCTTGGACATTAACGCGTTGAGTGGCAGCACTCTCCCCCTGATGAGTAAAATCGTCTGGCGTTAGACGGAGTAAAATGATAAAATAGGGTGCATTGCACTTAAAGGGTTAACAGGGTTACATTGAGTGGCAGCACTTTCCCCCTGACAAGTAAAATCGTCTGGCATATTAGACAGAGTAACATATTAAGGTAATGGCACATTGCCACTTAAAGGGTTAACGCCTCAACCATACCACATTCCTCTGGTTTACTGGTTGCATTCATCTGGTTTACTGTTAATACCATGCTGAACACTCTTCCCTATTGCCTGCAGGCATAAGACAGAGTACCATAACAAAGTAGGGGCAGATTCTGGTTAAAATAATTTGTGTTGGCCTGTAATAGGTCAACCAGAGTAAATTATAGTTCTGCTTATGTGCTAGTAAGGAAATAAGATAGGGCACATTTAGAAACATTGCAGTTAATTGTTAACAAATGGCATAGTTTATCATTCAACCATGAATGCACAAAGCTCATCATTGAGCATTAACCCTTTAAGTGGCAATGTTTCCTGATGTGTCTTACTTTATTCTTTTACTCTGTGTAATGCCAGACGATCTTACTCGTCAAGGGGAAAGTGCTGGAAATGAGAATACACTTGTAGTCATAACCTCATTCACTCATTCACAAGACAATTACTGACCCTCCCTCCCCTGTTGTAAAATCATCAGGCATAGACAGAGTACATGCAAATCTTTGAAGCAAACTTTTTGGTAACACAAATTCCTGATGTTCATCAAATCTGCAGAATCTAGTCAAATCTCAGCTGCCCCTCCTTCTGGAACTGATAAACTGTACATATCTTCTTGCAATCTGAACGTTATGATCTTGTTCCTACCATAAATTCTCGTTTAAAAGCCCATGCCCTTTTAATAGGGAAAGTACATTTATTACACCGAGGGAGGGGGATGAAGATGTCTTGAAAAAAGCTCATATTTTTACAGGGCCCCTGTTGAGGTTATCGGTAAATTTCGATGCCCCCCCCTCCAAGTTTTTAAAATTTTCAATGCCCCCCCCCCTCTCTAGAATTCGGAATCGAAGGAGTACAATCCGGAATTCTCTCTTATCATAGATACAATTTGCAGTTCCTCAAGATGTCTGATATACTCAAGTGCTTCTCCTCAATAAAACTACCGATCTGCTGCTTCTTTCATCTCACTAGCGCCAGATGAAATGGCACCGTCTTTAAAACATTTTAAATTGCTCTAGGGGTGGAATTATCAACAGGTTGTTGTTGTCCATCATTCAGCATATTCGGAGTCTTGAACACGTTCATGTAGTGGCCAAGATTTCCTGGATCAGGGTAATGTGCTGGAACCTTACAGTATGTTGCCCCCACCCAACGTATCTCCCGGCATCTGTTGCAAATGTCTTTGCATGCCTGTCAAAAATGCATGCAAAAGTGCCAGTATGCTTCAATTTCTTTAATTTCCATCCCGTTTGTACGAAATATCCCATAAACATAGAACATATCATTCTTGCAAATTGTATATGCTTTTTTGTTTTTTGGCGCGTAAATTACTTCACAAACCTGGCGCAAAAAAATTTTAAATAAGCTATAGGTGATTTCATGTATCCATTTAGAAGAGCAGACTAAGGATATCTTAAAACCGAAATCGGTTTCGAATACAACCATCAGGGACGTAGCAAAGCATCTGACGTTTGGGGTGGGGGGGATATCAGACGATTATACGTGTAATAATTATAATAAAGCTTTTTGTGATTGATTGGCACTCACACACTAAGTTTTGGGAGAAAAGGGGGGTCTGGGGGTCCTCCCCCAGAAACTTTTTACATTTTCGAAGCTCTAGGACTGAATTTCTGGCGTTTTCTAAAGCAAATTTCGCAAACAAATTGCATGTAAATTGACTGTATTTTACAAAGATGGTTATCATTTCACAAAAATAATTACTTTATTATGCAAATTTTACCTGAAACTGATGTAAAAATTTTAACTTTAATTTGCTGGGGTCAAACCTTTGAAAAGTTTAGAGCCCCCCCTTCAGTTTATCAAGAACTTTCAGAGCCCCCCTTTAATGCCAGAAAATATTTCGGATCATGATCGAGCCCCCCCTTAACATCTTCATCCCCCCCTCGGCATAATAAATGTACTTTCCCTTAGAGGACAAAACATATTAACTCGATTCATAAATAGGAAACACACTTGAACTAACAGATTCATTCATTGGCTGGAAGTCCACATTTAATACTTCAACATGTACGGTAGGAATTGTAACTAAAACCAAACAACTGTACTAAAACCACGAATTCAGTTTTGTGATTGGCGCGGTTTAATCAAAGAATCCTCCCGTTGAACCAGAGAATTCACGTCGTTTCAATTTATTATTTTATACTGAAGGCTCTGGAATCTAGGGTATCGGGAGAGGGGCTATTCATTTAGCTAAGTGCAGGCAAAGAGTAGCAAACTAAAAATCCTGGCTCAGTTAAAACGGAAGCAGGGGGGACTAGTAACAGGGCAGCCAAGAGAATCAAATCTTCTTTGGGCGCCACATGACATCATTTCTAAGCTAGACCCAAGTCAATCACCCAACTAGACCTTAGCTAGACTGCATGTGGAGGTACTGTAAGGGGCCCTCAATTTCAAAAAACCTCTGACCAATTTAAAGAACCTACTCAATTTTAGGCTCTCGCTCTCAAGTCGGGGCCCTATTAAGGTGGAGCCCCGGGGCAATTTGCCCTCCTCCCCTCTGGGCGGCCCTGATTAATAAAGGGGAACCTTTTTATTAAAATGTATATATTCTCACTTGGATTACAAACCCTAACATCCTAATATTAATTCCACCAAGTGAAGTGCAAGAATCTAAGTCATTCAAGTCCACCTTATCACAACCCGCACACCCGATTACCTATATATACATGAACTTACGGTTACAGCTCAACAGCTGGCCTCTGTAGCTCAGTTGGTTAGAGCGCTGCACCAGAATAGCAGGGACGTAGGTTCAATTCCTACCAGAGGACCTTGTGCTGCATTTTTCGCAGTCGTTCCTGGTTAGGTCTTAAAATGTATATATTCTCACTTGGATTACAAACCCTAACATCCTAATACCTTTTTATTGAGCCCACCGGCCTCCTGCATTTCGGCTAAATCAATGAAACATTAATTAATTAATGCCACACTTTCCTTGTGCCCTTGGTGCTGATGGATGTCTAAGTCTCACTCAAGGCAAATGGATGTCTAAAGTGTGGTTGACACTATCAAAGTTTATGCGGCCACAGGAAGAATTTTGCGTACGTTTTGAAGAGTGTGTGTTGAACACCGAGTCAGTTCCCTAAAAACAATTCTTGCAAATCCCTCAAACCTTAGAATTTATCCGTGCAAAATTGCTACTGTGATCACAGATACTTTGACAGTGTGATCCAGCCTTATGAGCCGGGATGAATCATGTCGACCGAACTTTTTTCCTGATCATAAAAGGACGTTTGAACGAACTTGGGACGATTACTGGAATCAAATAAAAACAAAGCTAATTCAACTTTGTAATGTCAGTCTGGATATTTATGAAAGCCTTGATAAGATTATAAGACAGCAGGCTTTTAGCCAGAAAGGCGTCCAGGGACGCCCATAGAACGAAAAATGGACGCTTTTGGACGCCCAAATTCTGGGGAAAAGGGAAATTATTTTCAATGAGTTCCCTAAGTATATTAATATATCTGAAACGAAATAGCTTCAATTGATCAATTCTCATTACTATTATACATTTGACATTTTGATCAATTTGATGGTGTACCTGGCTGAATGAAAATGTCGTAGTTAAGTAAAGAAGCATAGCGGCACAAACTCACAAAGCCAAGTGTGTTTGAAAAATTTCAAACGAGCTTGGAACAGATACTGATATGAAGTAACGTAAACTTCAAAGGTTTTCAGATACTGATATGATACTGATATGAAGTAACGCAAACTTCAGGTTTTCCAGAGGAACGTTTTCTCGACACCCTCCCCCCCAATATATATATATATATATATATATATATATATATATATAT